ATGTTGAAAAGGTGGTGACTACTAATCTAATTTAAAAACTAACCAAAACACTATAATAGACTACTAAAACTAATTTACAACACAAGAATAAAACTAAAGCTCCAAGATAGAAGGCTTTGAATAAAGGTGTGGAGAGACTTGGTCTGAGTTCTTAGAGCTTAGGCCTTATAATAATATTTACCAGACTTAAATAAGTCTTTTATTTGCATTAACTTATATATTGCTTCGATTGTATTAAGAATTATAATACTATTATCTCTATATCTTCGATTTAAGTCATTTGGTCTTTTTGAATTATGTGTTAAATCACTTGGATAACTGTAGTAATCAGTGATTTAATATTGACTACAATCATTAAGTCATAACAATAATGTTATGGAAGGGTATAGTGACTTAGTGAAGTGGTAGAGTTGTTGCACCCCAGACGGCAAGTCTAGAGTTTGAATCTCACAGATGATGATTTTGAAAATACTAGATCTGTATCGGTTAACATTAAGATTATCAGTTAGATCCAGATATCTGTAATCTTGGTTACACTATCTTGAATGAAGCTTTGGCATAATAAATCCAGAAAACCAGAATTACCAAAAACCTATTTGGCAAGTCCCAAGTAGAGAGGCAGTATAATCTTCAACTGTGCTACAGGAAGACTGAATTTGGAATTGGAAACTGAGACCGGAGAACCAAGCAACCAGGTCCTTAAGTGGGAGAACACACCAGCTGAACCACCGGGTCACCAACTAGAGAAAAATAATATGCGCTCTGGAAGCATGTACTAAGGAAAAGGAGACCATAAGGCACTTAAAGCCTGGGCAGACTGACCCTTCTGGTTGCTGGCTAGAAGTAAGAAAGAGACCAGTAAAGAATCCAAGAAAGAAGAAAAGTTCGAATATAGGTACTGAGATTATGTGAACTTTATAAGGGTGAGGAGTACGTAATGGGCAACTAATTAGGAAGGTTGTGGCTTGAGTAGCTGTAGAATGGCAGCATCCTAAAAGATGGCATAAAATATGAACACAGTATAGCAGCATAGCAGGTACTAGTTAGGAAGAAGTTACAAACATGCAGGTAAATACATGAGTGAGACATGAACCATTCTGTTAGGTTTACCTTGTAGATAGATTAGCTGTAATAGTTAGTAAGTCCTAAAGTAGATGCTAAATCTAATTGGGTAGATACAAAACCCAGTGTGTATAGTGAGTAATATGCAAGGTTAGGTGTAGCAAATAGTAGTTATAACCAGAGAGTTTAAATAGGTATCTCCGTAGTTAGATTACAGGTACGGCAAATAGTGTAGAACCTTCGGGCAGACTACTTAAATTAGGTACCAAAAGTGCATGTGTGGCTTGATATACTCTCATTATAATTATATAAACATATGTTGTCATTGAATAAAAAGTCACCTGGCCAAAGAGATCATCCTAATATTAAAAAAAAAATAATAATAATGTTATGGATAAGAAATGTCTGAAATCAGATTTTAATATATAACTGATATTATGAGATTCTAATATCATGAGAAATTGGATGATCGAAGCAATTAATTGTAATAATGCAAGATCACTAATTTGATTATTATACTAATTAGTAATAACAATATGTCATAGGGATGGTTAAGTATTTCAATAAATGTAATTTGATATAACTAAGATTCTTTACTTTTACTATGTGTTTTATAAGTAACAACAATTTGACACAAATATTGGAAACTTAATAATAGTTTTTATTATGAATGAATCAGTTAGAAAGATGATTATTTTAAAGAACAACTTCTACTAGTTATTACTTCAAAGTTTTTAGAACTTTATTGAGTTACTTTTCAAGAGACAAAAAGAAACACTTTTTATACATTTTTCATTACTGCCACAACTACTACTATTTTATTTTACAGCTAGCTAAATAAAGAACTTTAAGCTATACAAGTTTAAAAAGTTTAAAAAGGACAAGTCAAGAAGTTTAAAAAGTGCAGTACAAAAAGTTTAAAAAGTGCAAGGTGGTAAGTTCAAGAAGTATAGAGCTAAGAGTTCAGAAAGGCATAGCAAAAAGTATATCTTTTCTAATAAGGAAATAATTTTTCCTGTTATTTTTAGAGTCACTATATAGAAAGATAATAATAAAAGATACTTATAATCAATATATAATAAAATAAAAGAAAAAGAAGAGAAAAAAAATTGTAATAATTTTCTGAGGCTGGAAACTGGAAAGCTCTTCACAATTCCCTCTTACTTATTCATAAATATCAAGAGTGAATAATTATAATAAGGTCTGAAAATCTTTATTACTTAATTGACAAAGTTGGCTGAGTTTAGAGTAGGTAGTTTGATATAACTGTTCTACTCCATGCTGTTCAAAGGCATAATAGATATAGAGGGCAGAAATTCAATAATGTTGAAAGATGATATTATTGAGGCCTCTGAGTTGAGCTCTTGTCATAGTGTCTAAAATAGAGCCCAAATAGAAAGCAAAGACAAGACTTTTAATTCTGTTGCCTATTCTTAAAGCTTGTTGCAAGTAATAGTAGATGACAGACACTTTGGCAGTATTATCGAGTTTGTTGGCAGCTGAACATGATATTAGATTAATATCCAAGAGATCAAGAGAGTGTTGATCAGAAAGAATTTATTAGACAAAGATGAGATTATTTATTGTTTTGTTATTGTTGCTGTTGGAATTGTTTTATTGCAATATTTGTGTCTTTCACCCTTATTTATACTTTTTATTTATAATAGGGCTTTAATGGCTTTTTATTTAGTGAAGCTGCAAGTACTTTCCTACTTATTTCCCTTAGCTTATATGCACTATTTGGAAGGTTAGTCTGGATGTAGTATAGTTTCTTCCATTTGGGTATTAGCTTGTTACTGTGTGTACACAATTTTTTGGTATCTAATACAATGACTTTTTCATCTATGTTAAAATCTTTTTGGTTTGTCTATCATATTGTTCTTTTTGTTTTTGCTGAGCCATATCGATTCAGCTCAATGCATTCTCATAAACTGTGAGTAGATCATTATCAATCTTATATAATCATTGTATGGTAGTTCTATTTAGTAGATCATCTGCTGCACTAGAATATAGTGATAGCTGGACTGATCTTCTATATACCAAGAAGAAAGGTGTTTTACTTGTTGTGGCTTGTTTTGCTGTTTGATATATGAACAGAATAGATAGTAAAATTAAATCCCAGTCTGTCATGATTATTACTAGTCAGGTAATAGAGTTGCATAAAGTCTTATTAAAGTACTCTACAAGCCCATTTGTTTTTAGATGATAGAAAGTAGAGCAGTAGTGCTTAATACTCAAAGCTGTGAGTAATTCATCAATCATATGGTTGTTAAAATGTGCTCTTGATCTACTAGAGCAGTCGTATCTGCATATTATTTTATTATAAATGAACTTGGCCACCTATTGTGCATTGGCCCTGGAGATTGTGTAGACTTCAGGCTATTTTGTCATATAATTAGTCATGACAACAATATATTTGTTAGAACTAAAGTAACAGGCAATAAGCTAACTATATCAATACCTATTCTGTAAAATAGGGCTTTAATGAGTATGGAATATAGTAACCCTTTTGATTTTTAATTTTCATGAAACTGATAGTTTTCACACATACTTACATATTCATAAATATCATAATACATTTGAGACTAGTAATAATATCTGCAAATTTTGTTAAATATAATATCTTTCTCAAAATATGCTCCTGTGAGGTAGTTATAAGCTAGGGTCAGAATTAATTCTAGCTTTTCTTCCTATAAGATTTTTAACAAATTCCCTTAGAGCTTTGGGTTTTGTTTAACCAGATTTCTATTTTTGAGTTAAAAAAATCTGCTTTGTTTTTTTAGCTATTTTCATTGCTAGCTATCATAATGTTGTAGAAATTGCCTATGTTGCAAGTATGTTTTTAGTGCTATGTATCATTGTAGTTTTATTATTAAATTTCCTCATATTTTGCTTAGTTTTTTTTTTTTTCTTGTTTTATGGCCAGAACACTGACAACTTGGGCTGTATTGAGCTTTATATTAGATTTTCATTGCTTGAAATAAGTTTTCTAGGAATATTTCTTTCAGTTTTTCTTCAAAGTCATTTTAATAACAATATTTAATACTAGGAATATTTTTTCTGATTTTTATCTTTGAATAGTTTTATCTTTTTCTTGTTTAGTACTATCTTTTTTCATTGCTCCAGACTCATTGATAATTCCCGTTTTGTGATTCCTTAGCAACCTCTTCTTAACTATTAATTTTTCAACTTTAATTTGTCAAAGTCTAGTCTTAAATTTTGTTTGGTAGTTTTATCATGTTTTTCTAGTTGCTTCTCGTAGCTAATTGTGAAGTGTAATTCTTCTAGTTTCTAAATTTTATTTTGATAACAATATCCAATACTGCATAGAATATTTCTTGAAGTTTTTTATTTAGCAATTAATGTGGATGATTCAGAGTTACACTATGATATCCATCCAGAGCTTTATCCAAAACTTATCTAGTATGTGATATAGACATATCTTTCTTTTTTACCATCCCTTTTCAACTTATCTTATCTTACTCTGCTTAGTGTCAGATAATTTTGATCTCAATTGGTTGAATAAAGCCCCAACACTCATTTTATTCTATCTTGACCATACTTACTCTAGTGTCAGGTCTGTTTGAATATTCTTTCTTATGTCTACATAAAACATTTATTGAAAAAAATATATTCAGCTTTCTTTTTTTTTTTTTTTTTTTTTCTTCATTTATATATTTGTAATAATATGATAGTAAAGAATGACAATAAAAATAAAAAAAATAATATTTTTACAAACTTTTGCAAACTTCTCAGTCAATATATTCATCTCATAACAAAGACCATTCTTCAAATTCAAGATTAATGTCTAAGTATTTTAGAAATGGATCTGTATTGTTGGTTTTATACCAACTTAGATTGAAATTAAGGTAGGTTATATAGTCTTTGTTACTTATAATTTTGTGTTCTTCAAATTTAAGTCCTTGAACTAACTCTCCCTATTTTGGGATATTAACTAGATATAATTTATCAATATCTATTGGTTGAGTACCAAATTCATATCCACTTTCAGTTTCTACTTCTATTTGATACCTGGTTTGGCTAATCTAGATAATTTTGTGCCTAAATTCTTGAGTTAATTGTTGTAAAAAGGCTTTGCTCTGTCTAGCTTACTCTAGATAGGTATTAATTTCTTCTTTAATTTTGTCCTATCTGACCCATTTGGCATTATCAACCCAATTAGTTACTCTCATCTCTTCATCAATATCATCTAGCAAATATTCTTAGGCAATAGCTCTAAAGACTTTTAATTCTTCAGCTTTTTCAGATGTTTGAATTTCTGGGAGTATTTGCATGAATTTGGTCAGGTATTTTTCTTTAGCATTTTTTATATTAGCTGTTTTTTTATAGTAGCTGATTTCTTTGTTTTTTCTTACTCTGTTTTAGGTAATTCTTCAACTATTTTAGACAATGCATTGCTATTGTTATGTACCCTTTCTGATTGATGCTCTATCATGAAGTTGTATGGTTGAAGATGAAGAAGCCATCTCTCTCTTCTTCCCTTCAGCATGCTATTGTGAAGCTATTTTAAAGCTAAATAATCTGTAACAGCAACAAAGGGTTTGTACCCTAGGTACTGGTAGAAATATTTGATTGCCCAGACCACAGCATAGCACTCTAGTTCAGTTGCTACATAGTTTCTTTCGGGTCAGATAAGGCTTTTGCTTGCATAGGCAATTGCATATTCTTTTTTACTTTTATCTTTTTGGGCAAGCACAACTCTGAGCCCAACACCAGATACATTGGTATAGAGGTAGAATATTTTTTAAAAATCTGGATACCTTAACACTAGGACAGTGGTGAGATGTACTTTTAGAGTTTTAAAAACTTCCTTCTTTTCTGGACCCTATTCATATTTGGATCCTTTTTCTAATAACTGGTATAATGGTTTTGCTATTTTGGCAAAGCCTTGGATAAACTGCTAGTAATATAAGGCAAGGCTGATGATGCCTCTTAATTGTCTTAAAGTATGTGATATAGAAAAATCTTCGACTTTGGTAACTTTTTTTTTGTCTAGACTAATACTATCCTGGTCTACCTCATAGTATAGGAATTTGATACTTTGTTTAAATAGTTTATATTTTTCTGAGTTTAAATTTAACTCTGCTACTTCTAACTTTGCAAGTACTTAAGTAAGATATGTCAGGTATTCCTAGTAGGTTTTTAAATAGATGATTATATTATCTAAATAAACAGCCATAAACTAGTCAAGGTAATTGTAGAGAATATTATTCATTGTCTGTTAGAATGTGGCTGGGGCAGTACAAAGGCTAAAAGGCATAACTTTAAAAGTATAAGTGTCTATTTTGTTACAAAAGCAATTTTTTCTTGGTCCTCTAATTTTATCTGAATTTGTCAATATCTACTAGCCAAATTCAAGGATAAAAACCATTTGGCCTTGTCAAAGATTTCAAAGAGATTATTGATTCAAAATAGTAGAAATGTGTCTTTTTGGTTACTGTATTCAATTTTTTGTAGTCCATATATAACTTTAGTTTTCTATTTTCTTGGTAACTATTACTACAAACAAGGTTCACAGGCTTCTGCTTTTATAAATAAGCCCACTTTTTATTAACTTCTCAATTTTCTTATTCAAGAAGTCTTGGATGTCAGGGGCAATTTGGTAAGCATTTTGTTTGATGAGTCTTGCATTTTCAGTATCAATTTCATGCTAAATATCTTGATACTGGCCCAGCTATTGTAGTCCTGTTGCAATGAGTTCTTGAAACCTTTTTAGAACTTGAGTTGTGGCTTCTAGTTGTTCTTTGTTTAGTACTTTAGTTTGTATTAATTTATTAATAGTTTCTTTTAGTGCTAATTCAAATTGGTTAGTTTCTTCTGACATTGGAAGCTTCTTAACTGCTATTAAGTAGATGACAAGATTGTTATTACTACTAGATAGATAGTATGTGAATTCTTCTTCAGTATCATCTGTATAATAACTTTCAATTTCTTCTAAGTTTTCTTCTTTTTTATAGAAGTTAAAAAAGTCATTTTCTTCATTATTCTTATTTCATAGTAGCTCTTGCTTATTTTCTTCACCTGGTATATTAGAACTTCTATGCATTTGCCCAAATATCTAAAGATAACCTTCCTTTCATCAAAGTAAAAACAAGTTTAGACTTTTGAAAACAGTTCGTTTCCAGAAGCATCATCTCTTCAGGATTTTCAATTACTTAAAAATTAGTAGGTATTAAAAGGTCCTGAACTGCTAGTTTTACTCTAATTATTTTGACTAAAGTGTGTTCCCAGAATCCTTTAGTAGTAATAATGATTGTATTCAAAGGTTTCATTATAGTAAAGCCTAATTTTTTTGCTAGTTTTATTAAGATGATGCTAACTATTGTATCTGAATCTAGTATGGTTAGAACTGGATTGTTCTTGACCCAAATATAGCATTTTGCTACAATAGTTTATTGAGTAGTTTTGTTCTTAGCATAGTTAGTAGCTTCAGTTGTAGTGATAAGTAGTTAATATAAAACTTGTGCAAGTTTTTGTTTTTGCTTCAGTACTTGAAGCAATTGGACATAGGTAGCATTAGTGCATTGTTCTAAAAGGTCTATTGTAATATTATTTAGTGGTGTCAAATCAACTATTGAGGGTACTTATTTATATTTAACTTGGTTGTTGATTTCCAGTTGAGATTGAATTGGGGCTTGAACTAGGTTTGCAAGATATCTTCTATAGAGATAGGCTAAGCAGAGTTATTAGTTGGTGGGTGCTCATGGGTGACTCTTTTTTGAAATCATTTATCCTACTAAGTTTTATTTTCTGGCCTCTCATATTGTATAATAGTATAGGCTTCTTCTTCAGAGCTATAAATATTATATAGGCTGATATTTCTTATTTGTATAAGGGCCCTACGAAGATCTATACAAGATCAGCAAAGATTCTGTCATGGTTCTAGAAGTTAATTTCTAGCAATATGATCTCTTCCTTAACAATTATAGCATTTAATACTTTTGCTTCAAATTGATCGAGACTGATATAGGTGTTGTTGAGGTTGAAAAAAGACAATTTTGATCTTAGTAGCCAAATTGGTTGCTAGTTTTTTGTAATTGACAGCCATCTGCTGCATTTTTTGTGTTAAGTTATTGATAAGCTTTATTGTAGATTATTACTATTTTTAGCTTTAGAGTAATTGCTAGCTTCTATTTTTCTTGCTTTGGCAAATACTGTATCTAAAGTTTTCGATTTATTAGTAGATATAAGTGTAGCTCTTTTTCTGTAGAAACCTCCTATAAACATTTTTACAACATATGTAGCAGAGATTCTTTGATCCAAATTGACCCTCTTGAGTAATTTTTTGAATTGGTAAGTATATTTATCTACTTTCTCATTTTTCTTTTGTTTCAAGATAGTTAATTCTAACTTCTATTAGTGTTTTTACTTTAGTGTTGCAAAGTACTTAATAAAGGTCTAAATGAAGCTGACATCAGGATTGTCTTCATTATCTCAAAAGATTAGGTCATATTTTTAGTCATTATACCAACTTGTAGCGATTCTCAATAGATAGCAAGATGCAATCTTTATTTTCCTTGCTCTACTCCAATTATTCGCATCGGCTACTCTCTCAAAAGTTTTGATCCATTCAACTAGGTTTTTATTCTCTTCTTTTTTAAAAGTGTGAATATGTACTCAGCTATTCTCATGGGGATTAAGTAGGATGTCATAAATAGCAATTTCTCTAAAAGCCTGGGCTATTTTCTTTAAAAAATTCTGGGCAGGATCTGGCTCAGCCAGATCTAGATCACTTTAAGAACAACAGAACCATTGAGAGTGATCCAATTGTCTATAAAGATTTACCTAGATACCAAAATCTGCTAGCTATTGTTTTGTGACTTTTCTTAGTGATTAATATAGCGTATACTAGTTTGTTAGGAAATATTGGTGGGTTTAGAAGTAAAAATTTCACAGTCAATACTAATTTAGAAAGTGGTGACTACCAATCTAATCTAAAAACTAATCAAAACACTACAATAGTCTACTAAAACTAATTTACAACACTAGAATAAAACTAAAGCTCCAAAGTGAAAAGCTTTAAATAGAGTCATGGATAGACTTGGTCTGAGTTCTTAGAGCTTAGGCCTTATAATAATATTTGCTGGACTTAGATAAGTTTTCTATTTGCTTTAACTTATGTGTTGCTTTAATTGTATTAAGAATTATAATACTATTATCTCTATATCTTCAATTTAGATTATTTCAGTCTTTTTGGATCACATGTTACGTTACTTGGATAACTGTGATAATCAGTGATTTAATATTGACTACAATTATTAAGTTACTTAATGATGATATTATGGGTAAGAAATTTCTGAAATTAGATTTTTAATAAGTAATCAATATTACGAAATTTTGATATTATGGGTAAATTAGTTAATTGAAGCAATTAATTTGTAATAATACAAAATCACTAATTTGATTGTTATACTAATTAGTAATAACAATACGTTATAGAGATGGTTAAGTATTTTAATAAGAGTAATTCAATACGACTAAGATTCTTTACTTTAACTACATGTTTTATAAGAAACAACAAATCTACACTAATATTGAGAACTTAATAATAGTTTTTATTATGAATAAATCGTTAAAGAGATGTTTATTTTAAGAAACAACTTCTACTAGTTATTACTTTGAAGTTTTTAAAACTTTATTAAGTTGTTAACTCTTAGAAAGTTACTTTTCAAGAGACAAATAAACTCTCTTTTTATATATTTTTCATTACTGTAACAACTACTACTATCTTATTTTACAGCTAGCTAAATAAAGAACTTTAAGCATGCAAGTTTAAAAAGTTCAAAAAAGACAAGTCAAGAAGTTTAAAAAGTGCAGTATGAAAAGTTCAAAAAGTGCAAGGCGTAAGTTCAAGAAGTATAAGGCTAAAATTCAGAAAGGAGTAGTAAAGAGTATATCACTTCTAATAAGGAATATTTTTAAAGTCACTATTTAGAAAAGATAATAATAAAGGATGCTTATAATCGATATATAATAAAATAAAAGAAAAAGAAAAGAAAAAAAAAAAATATAATATTTTCTGGAGCTGGGAACTAGAGAGCTCTTCACAATATAGTATCTACAATATTGTTCAAGTAATTAAAACAAAGAATGAAAAACTAAGTAATACAGGTGCTACTTACAAAGAGCTAATATATCAAAAGTAGAAGATACCTGATCGATACATCAATGCAAAATTTGAGAAAAGCAATAATCATCTTGTAGGGCTTATATAGTTGCACTCTAAACAAATTGATATTTGGTGTCATTTTTATAATATTATTTTGCTCAACATGACTTGTAAAATAAATAGATTTAATATGATAATGTGTATAGTTGTTTGTGTAGATAATCATAATAGATGATGACTTGTTGTAATAGCTTTAATTATGAATAAAAAAAAATAACATTTAGTAGATTTTGCAGAGGCTACTCAATGCTAAAGGTTGTTGGCTTATTTTTTTTATTTAGTATTAGTATAGCTATT